GTGATGATGGCTGCTGTCTTAGCTTGGAACTGCCGTTTACTCACCATTATTTACGATAAAAGAAAGAGGATGCCACGGGGGGTGGGGGGGAGGGAGAAAAATGAAATACATCCGTAATTCCCACAGAGACGGATGCCGAGAGGACTTAGGCTGCCCCAGTCACTGCACTGGTAAGATCCCCAGATGGTAGGGTACGGATGGATTTTTGGTCTTTTTGTCGCATAAGCACTGGAGATTGCTCAAAACTTAAAAAGCTTTCTTTAAAACGCTGTCCCAGGAACTTGCAGGAGAAATCTCAGTCTAGGGTCACAAGCGTTTTGTCCACAGAGTGTTTCCGTCCCTGTTGGTGACTTGCTTGTTTTGTCTTGCCATAGCAGGGAAAGTGGCTCATCAGGGGACTTTCTGTTTCTACAACCCTCTGATAGCTCCATGTTAATCAACAGGATGTGATAGTTAAATTAGTTATGATTAATTAATTAGTCAGTCATTAGTAGTTTCTTTGTAAGCATTCTGTGTGTCAAAAGAAGGTGGAATGGTGCAAGTGGAAGATGTCATCCTAGGATTTTAGCTGCTTAGAATGTCCACAAACTAGAAAGAGACACAGTTAGAAAGGCAGGTACGCTAACTGTTCTTTAGACATGCATGCTTCAGGCAGGAAGGACTCTGTTTCTTGCAGCGTGTCTGAGCTAAGTGTATTTGCTCCTAGGCATCACTGATTTAAGCCAGTCTAATGAAATCATATATATACTCAGTGGTTCCTGTGAAGTGTTTAAATATGATTTGTGCAGGTAGTCTGGACTGGCCATAACTGTTTTGCAAATGCATCTTAAGTTAGTGGGAGACCTTGTTCTCCCTGGTAAGCTTTGGAGAAGTTGCAAATAGGGGCACTAGTTTCGCCATCTCCTTTGGAACTCTTTTAAGAGTAACTAACTTTTGACAGTAAATGGAGGAATAGCTGCTGGGACAGCAAAAGTCATTTTTAGCAGAAGAATGGAAATGCTTGTTTCTGCACACTCTAAAAGAATAGCTGAAAGAGTGGGGCATGTTCTTGTAACTGAGAACCATCAGAAATAGAGGCTAAATAAAGATCATACTGAGTCAGGGTTCCTGCTCTACAAGTAAGTTTAAACGGATGCCCTCTTTGATCACGTATTCATTATTCCCTATAAAAAGGTAAATTAAATAGATTTTAGCAAGTTGCGGTCTGTTACCTACTGAGAAACATTCCCTACTTCAACTTAAGAGGTAACTCAGAGGATCGGAAGTAAATACCTGAAGTGGATGGGGTAAAAGGTGGATGGGGTAAAAGTCTGCTTCCCCAGTGCCCAAGTAACACCTTTTTTTTTCAGTGAGTGAGACTGGTTTTGACATTGCTTGTGTTTGGTTTAATCTTTAGGGAAGTGATCTTAGTTGTTTTATTGGACTACAATGCACAAAAGGTTTTTCATTTATAAGTTAGCTTAGGAAACGCACTGTAGAGAGAGAATGAACGTAAACTTCGTACTGCTCTACTGAGCAATTAGAAATGTTAATGAATAGACAATGTGATGTTTTCATACTGAAGGAACACGCCAGCATACAGACCCTTAAGTGAGAGCGTTCCATACAAACATGCCGCGCTGATGAAGGCATAGTTTTTTACATTTGTCTTTTGGCTGAGAAGTAGGCTCCACTTCAACATATGCTTAGGCGCAATCTCCTTAATATCAACTGAATTAATCATGTACTTGGATGTTTTGCCAAATCAGGACCAAAACAAAAGAAATAGCAGGCAGAGGTAAGTGGTGAGTTGTGATTGTTATTGCCGATTGGCTAGGAACTCTGGGCATCCTACTGTTTTTATTACTGTCTCTCCCCTTTCCCTCTACGGCCTACTGTTGTTGGGTTTTGTTTTTTTTTTTCCCCTCCTTAACCTGTTACGTCTTACTTTTTGACATTTTAAGAGCTGGCAGACAGGAGCTACAATTTTTGTTCTGTGCCCCGCAGAACCCAACCTGCTTGGGCTGTGGGTGCCACCGCCACATGAACGCTGATGGCAGTAAAGCACAGGCTCCAAAATACCTAGACAAGGTTTGCTTACCATGGAGATATTTACAGTTTTGAATGGAAAAAAGTTGCTGGATAGATCAGATGTGTTTAAATAGCTGTAGTTGTTTCTTTTTTATCTTTGCAAAACAGGGAGCTCTCAGGATGACTAACAATTCCCATCTAAGGTCCCATCGAGACTTTTGCCTTCCAACAGAGTCTGAACTGGGGGACGAAAGACTGTGATCCAACTATGAGGGTTTTTTTCTTTATCCTACTGTTCCACATTTTCCTCTTACAACCCTGTGTACTGTTTTCCTCATCCCTCGGGTCCTTCTCACAAAAAAACTGTAGTGTGATACAGTAATATTTAAATTAGAGGAAGGCCTGATTCAGCCTCCTGGTTTTTAGATGCAGTTTTCCCTAAAAAAAAATTTTTTTTTCAAAAGCATAATACAGAGGAGTGAAATACATGCCACTGTTCAGGAAGAGTGTTCTTTTTGGAGTGAATTATGGAGGTTTTCTCTTTATTTCAAAAATAAAGAGACCATCATTCTTCTTTCCTCTGATTTTGCTGGAGGCTTGCTTAGAGAACGAACATGGAATGTATTTGCTTTCTCAGACTTTAAATTAAGGGAGGGAAATGTGATTTTAAATTTTCCTCATGGTGGTCTTCACTCTCAATTGTCTGTCAGTTTTGACAGTAAAGTATTAAAAAACAAATAAAAAAAAACTTAAGCATCCTGCCTGAAAATCTTTGTAAACTGTTCAGATCTTACTTAGTGTCTGTGATAACACAGTTCTCCCGTTTCTCTGCTCTGCTCATTTGTATAATGTACTGTACAAACTACTGTAACTTTTTAGTAAAGAAGAAATGAGCAGGAGGAGGCAAGGCTCTTTTTTTTAATGTCACGTCTTCTGAACTTCTGTGAACATTCTCAAGTGAGAAAAAAACTGTAGTCTCCCACTCTTTCTTCCTTCTCAGGCCGCCACAGCAGAGAAACTGAGGTAGGGAGGCAGTGCCTGAAATGTTCTTATGCGTAGGGCAAGGAGGAAACATGTAGAAAGTTCATCTGAAATTTCAAGAGAGTTGCTCCTGATATAAAAATTAGATAATTCAGTGAGTGAGGGAGCAGAAGTTGTTCTGCGGGGGCAGGTCACTAAATGAAAATGGAGTAAATCCTGCAGTCCTATGGTCCATCCAGGAGTCTTGAAGGTCCTCAAATTTGTACAAACTGATTTAAAATAATAATGCACTCTTTAAAATAATAATACACTCTTTTTCATTTAAAACAGACACCGTCTTCAAAGGCAGGAGAGTAGAAAATGCTACACTGTATTTTTAAAAAGCTGTAGGAGTAAGGTAGGGAATTAGAAGTCTGTAAGTCTTGTGCTTTCACATGGCAAAGTGGATGAATCAGTAATTCAAAACATACTATGAGATCACGTGAAGAGTCATGATTTGATGGGATCTAGTCAATGTAGAAAATTCTCATTAAATTTTTAGAATATGTGGAATATGTTGGTAAAGTAGCAGATGAAAGAGGATCAATTGGCATTATTTCTTTAGACTGCAGGAGGCTTTTGACAAGGTCCTACACTAAAGAAAGTAAGTTGTGATGGGCTGAGAAGCAGAGTTGTATTGGATCAATAACTAACTAGGAGACAGTCAGCAAAAGAGTAAGATTAACTGATCTATTTTCATTGTGGTGAAAGGTGAAGAACAGAAGCTTCAAGGTTTTCCTCTAAGCCTTGCACTGCTCAGTAATATATAAATCATGAGGAAAGGGGATGAATGGCAAATTAGCAAAATATTTTCTTACATTACACGTTGTTATTTAATTTACATAATTTACTCGGTGAAACTGCACCCACAATGTGGAGTGCAAGGACAGATGAAATTTCATGTTGGGAGCTGAAATGTACAAAGCAGGAAAACTGGAAACTATTCTTCACCTTACGAGGTTAAAAATTAACTGAATCAAACCATGAAATGAGCCTGAATGTTGCTGTTGACAGCGCAGACGAAAACCTTTGACTGGTATGCAGGTACAGCTAGAAATGTTAATGTGATGCTGGTCTGTAAAAGAAACGGGAGGGATGGTAACACTGCAAATGCCACTAAGTGTTCATATATAGAAACGGTGTGGCGCCACAGCAGAATACCCAGGAGCGGTGTTGGTCAGTCCCCTGAAAATGCCCGTGGCAAAGTCAGAGAGAGAATAATGAAAGATTTGGCAAAACTATTCTATGAAGTAGCATTTTCTTCTTCCAAAAGAGAAGAGTAAGAGGGAGGATGTTGGTACTCTACTAAAAAAAGAATTGGCTGGAGAAGGAGGATCCAGTATGTTACTTTGCTCCTTATACATTGAAAAGATATAAATTTATCAACACGTGAAAGGAAATATCTTTCACATTGTGCTCTACAGAAAGCTACTGATGCCGAGAACTTAAAAAGCCAAAAAGGGAATGAGAGATTTGCATGGGTGTCTGGACTATCTGGAGTCATCATCGTTGACAGTGAGATGTGTTTTTCAAGTTGGACTTTTCAGCTTAACTCAGTCTCTCTGTAATAAAGATCAGGGTGGTTATGGGCCAAGCTGAAGGCAGCTCTGTAAGAGCTTCTTAGAAATCACATGTAAGATGTCAGATAAGTTTGGGGATCTGCGGTAGGCCAGTGAGTACCAATTGTCTAAGCACTAAGACATCACAAGCTGCAGAAGTGGTTAGCAATATAAAATGAAAATACAGGAGTCATGATAATGGGAATACCAGGAAACATTGGACAAACTTACTGTGGGCAATGGCAATATGAATGAAAGCTGACAGTTTGAGGTCAAAAGTAATGAAAATCTTTCTGATGAAGTGAGAATCTAAAATATGAGCCATGAAAAATGGTGGGGAAGACAAGACATGCAGGAAGACAAATTTTGGTGGAGAATACGTAATAACAGGAATTCTTACAGTTTTTGGACAGCAACAATCAAAGCAGATGGCAAGCAGTGAACTGAGTTTGGTCTGTATGATCTAAACAGAAGCCTTGTCTAAATTTGAAACTGTTGAAGAGGAGTTTCAGATGTTGACATGAGGTTGGAGGTATGGAGTTTGGGCCCGGAGGAAGATGCCCCCGGGGAAGATTTAGAACTTCTGCCAGAAACGAGCTGTGGACAGTGCGGTTAGAAAGACAGAAGTGAAACGAGAGCAGATTGCTGGAGGTGCCAGGCTGTTTTGCAAGGGGCTAGAGAAGGAAAGAATGACTGACGGGACTGAAATCCTCCCCAAGAGCTAGGGAACGAAAAGGAGACTGAACCTGGTCATTAATGCCAAACATCCAGTGCAACTCTGTCCTAAAAAAGGCCTACAAAAGGAACTGTGCCCAAGGGTATTCATTGCTGCGTGTGTGGGTTTGCACATCAGAAGTGATCGGGGGTCTGAAAGTTGTCCGTAGCATAAATGTTGCTGGAATATCTGGTGGATCCATATACTGCTAGGTAGAATATTTTTTCCGACTTAAATATTGTAGTAAGAAAAGCAGAATACAGAGCAACTGTATTTTAAATTAACTCTGTGATGCAAACTGAGAGAAATGAATACATTTAGTTAAAACCCAAGCTATTCTTCAGTTGTTTCTACTTGTTCTACAGCATTTTCTGTGGGCCCCCGCGTCAAGACCAGCAGCAAATTTCCATGTTGCGTGCAAAACCATGAATGTCTGTAGCACACCATACAAATGACAGACACAAAGAGGTTTTGACAAAGAAGGAAGTATCAGTCAAGCCTTTAATGGTTTTATCTCAGCAGGTCAGTTTTAGGGAAGAATGTATTTTAACTAGGAAGTAGCATGTGGACATGTTCATTGTTTTACTTCCACATCTTGTGTATATAAAAACATACTTCTACATCTGCATTATATTCCCAAATATACTTTGTTGTGCAGGGTGTGAGCCACTGTAGTAAAGAGGAAATTTTCACAGGGATTGCAATTTGAGGCCCTAAACAGTTGATGCAGAAATGAAATGTCTAAGTACTAGGAAAAAATGTCATGCCTTTAAAGAGCATAGGCCATCCTTAAGCTGTCTGCTGCTGTGCTTCTCTGCCTTATATTCCCTGCAGAATATGTTTCTGTTTTGTGATCCAGCTGCATTGGCAGTCCTGTGTAAGGTTTAAAGGTCCTGTTAATTATTGGAGGGAAACTAAGACCTCGGACCTCAAGTTTTGAGAGATGGATTATTGCTGTGATTAAAGGAGAAGCGTTTTAGAGTCTGAAGGCACACTGCTAACTCTTTATTTGAAATCTTTAACATCATTCCTTACAGAAGTGTTGCAATTTCCCACCACCTTAACCACCCTTGCCGCAGCTGAGGCCAGCAGCGTTGTGTGATTTGTTTCTGCCGGTGACCGCCAGCTCGGGAGCGCGGCATCTCCAGGCCGAGGAGCGCCCGGCTACTGCGTGTGACACACGGGAGCCGTGCTGGCCTGGAGTCTGCTTGCAGTTCATGCACCTAGGTGATCTAATGAGGGACGAGGAGAGGGGGAGGAAGGAGTGATAGAATTACAGAAGGAAGACCGCTTGCTTGTTCTAAATTTATCTTTCCTGTTTCTCAGTCGCAATGTTTTCTGTACGTAGGTGCTCCATGGTGCCAGATGATTTCTCCCCTCTTTGCCCTTTTCCTGACAGCACATTGCTCATCTGTATTTTCCTCCATTTACCAGACTGTGTGTCCTTTCCCTCTCTTTTCCCCTTTCATGTTT